AGACTCTGACAGTGCTACCATGGTATCAACTGAATATTATTTAGGACTTTGCTACTGTATCCACGAGGAGATAAAGTTGCTTCTGGAGAAAGCATATCTTTATATCTGGAGTTGAAAGATCCTCCTGAGGGGAAAATTGTAAATGCTCAGTTTCACTCTGTTAATAAGAGACCAAGTTAAAGGCATGCATTTCTCACGTATGGGTGAGCAAAATATATATTGACATCCTTCTTCCCATTTCTTAATTTTATGTTTCAATCTTAATTAGCTAGCACTCAATGAAAGTAATTCAATTTTATGGTTTTTTATGGTTCAAGTTACTGCATCTTCGTGTAACTTAAAGAAAGGATGGGGTTTCTGTTCATTCGTGTCCTTGAAAGGTCTTAAAGACCCATTGGAAGGTTTTCTTGCCAACGATACGATTATTCTTGAAGCTACGGTGAATTATGTTAGTTTCAGAGTCAAGAATCGCGCTTGAAACGGAGAAAGTTCAGCTTTTTGAGTGGTTAATCTGTAGGGCTTCCAATTGCTATTCAAAGATCTCATTGGGAAACGCTTATTATAAATGTACCAATGATACTTTACTTTTACCGCAACTGCTAATTTGCTATGTCGAAGGATTTGCTGTCAACTCTTAGTATCTGTTAATTGAATAATTTGGACAGAGTTTTCGGATACATTTTGTGAATGGAAAATGATTGATACACTTTTCAACCTCTTCAATTTGATACATTTCTTAACATTTGTCCGCTCTAATTATTAAAATATAATATAAATACAATCAATTTGTACATATAATATATATGATTGTATTTTTAAGTTTATTTAACTTAATTTCATACTGAAAAATATTAATTATTTAATAAGTATATTACATAGTGTGTTGAATTTGAATAGAAAGTGTATTAATTGAATTGGATATATGACTGTATCTTTAAATTTATTGAACTTTAATTTCATATTAAAAAATTAATATTTTTTAATTAGTATATTATATAGTGTATTAAATTTGAATTAGAGAGTATATCAATCAAACTAAATACATAGTTAAATTGAAATTATTTTAAGTGATGCTTTTTGAAATTATGTTAAATAAGTTTGTTAGTTAATTAGTCATGTTCTTACTAGAATATAGCACTGGTTAAGTTGAAATTTGTAAGCATATCGTTGAAAATCGCTACGGGGAAGATCAAGAGGTTTACTCAATACTGATTGCAGAGTGCATGCGTGGAGCTTGAGATCCTGGGGGAATTGGCGTATTGTGAGGGATGGTTCAATTAATTACATCGGCGTTCATGATCAAAACAAGTGGTATTTAATATCACTTTCCTATGGGGAACCCCGAAAGGCCAAATGCATATACCCCTTCCTTCTGGAACTCACTGCCGGAGCACATAACTCTTCTATATAAAGTTTCCTCTAAGTTTCTCAGAAGCAACTGAAGAAAGTTTGTTGTAGTTGTATTTTCTTAAGTAGTACTACTAATGGAAGTCGGGAATGAAGGTTCAATCTTCACACATTTTAATTTCTCTTCTTTAAAAAAAAAAAATTATGAACAATTATATATCTTAGTTTGAGGATTTTTTTTTTTTTTTTGTAGTATTAGTTTGGGGAATTAAACAATTTTAAAGATGTAATTGCTATGTCGGTGACGGTACAAACACCGGTGCATTACTTGTTAATAGTAAAATCGTTCTCCTTATTCTCTGGAGTTCTTTCAAAAAATACAAAGAGAAATACAAATCTTCAGCTTTTGAAGCAGGGGGCTATAAATGGTCAGTTATTTTATTTTATTTTTATTTTTATTGGTCCTCTTTGGTAGTATTATTTGAATAATTGAGTTTGTTTTATTAATTATATATTATTCTTGTTTGTTTACGTATATATAAATGTTTTTGTTTAATTTTTTTAAGAAAGGAAGCTGGTTCTCTACCCAAACGATGACGAAGCAAGAAATGGAG